TAATCTACGAAAAGGGCTATTTTTTAAACCTGTAAAGATTTAAAACTCACAAAAAATATATAGTTGAAAAAATTTTTTTTCTTATTTCACAACTTTATTACCACAACAACAAAGCCCAGAAGCTTAATGGCTCCATTTTCTTATCACCACAAAAATACAAACACATATTCTATCTATTTAAAAATCTGAAAGATTCAAGAGGTACTATGAGGGTTATAGTAAAAAGCTGATCTCTCACTTGATAAATTCTTTATTTCTTGATTTTGATGCTGCTTCGAATCTGATAAATGTTTAGCGGCATTTTCTTGACGCCTAAAATTGTATGCATAAGATGCATTTTAAGTTTTCCTTCTAATTCGCCCTCTTGCGACTTTTGGCATGGTTAAGACTTTATTGAGCCCTATCGGCTATTTTTTGTCAACTTTGTTAAGTTCTAATTTATTTACTGGCAAAGTAGTTCGATGTCCGATGACCCTGAAAAGGACCGGTGACCTTCTTATGTAAACTTTTTCTTGACTGAAGTTTCCAGCAAATGTGATTGCCTCTAGACCTCAGGGTGATCTAATCTGGCCTGTTATTGTAGCACCACACTGATTGGAAGGAAAACTACAACGTTTAAAGCTTTGGAGCTAGTTGTTGAGCTCTTTCCCAACGTCTTCTAGTATAACGTCGAAGACGTTGGTGTCTAAAGCACCTTTTTTTTGCAGACTCAGTTGTATTGGTGATCTAAGCTAGGGAGAATGGTTTGTGGTGCTTGCCCGTTGGAGACTGTCCCGTTGGCTCAAATTTTTTTTCCCTTCATAACTGTTAGGTTCGCCCAGCGCAAGCCTTGGAGAGGATCGGTGATTCCTGGTTGAATCCTTAGAGTCAAGCGGGTAATATAGGGTCGTTGGTTACTGGGGTTCCCAGCTTTGCGACGAACAACTCCAATCGCGACGTCTGCCAGTGAGTGACTGACTTGGTTTAATAGTGGCCGGCTCTACATTGTCTTTTAGTCGATGAAGCGTTTCCGGAAATTGTAGTAAAAATGTATTTGTTGGCAAGGTAGTTTAAACTTAGATAGCCCTTAAAAGAACCGATGAGATTGACGGTTAAGTAGGGGACGTAATTACTTATAATGGCCCTTTATGGTAAAATTTCCAGTTATTCCTTATTATTATTCTTGAAGATGGAGAGCTAGCTACGGGTAGCTTGAATCTTATCCTTGGAGTCTCTGTGTACGGAGACCCTACGGTAGGGAGGTACGCCGCTGACCAGAGAATATCTCGTCTTCAGGTCGTTCCCCGGATAATCAACTGCTCATCGTGAGTCGAGAAAGTGGGCCTAGAAAATACCTTCTTTGTAGGTATGCCGTTGGGACGACCACTAAGAAAGAGGCCGTTATGGCTGCCCGTACTCTTCAGGGCTGTCTTGCCTGGCTTGCATTTAAAGTAGAAAATTCTCTGATGGCACCAGGTGGAATGGTTGAACGGTCACTAAACTCTGAAATGTTGGAGAAGGTTGTGTTCTGGCTTGACACGTCTCCTGGTATTCCGCTGGAGACGTTATCGTTTAGAACATTTTTTAATGGTGGCACACGTCAATTCTGGTGGTTCAGGGAGAATTAGACGTAGGACGTAGGTCTCTTACCCATTGGAGAAGAGCGTCGTCGGTAGCCGGGATACCCAGCTGCACGACCAACAATTTTTGATGTACTGTCGGTGTACGACAGTGGAAATCACTGAGACGCTCGGGCCTATTATAATCACACTAATTTATTTCTATTTCAGGTAGCTTTGATTTTACTTCTATGCTAGCTATCGGATTCCACTGAACTAACGTGAAAACCTAGCGTATTTTTGCAAAAATTTTATCTTATTTATTGGTATTTTTATTAAATTTTTGAAGATAAAAACTATTCTCAAACCATCTAGGAAGTGTCAGGAATCAGTAAGCAAAATTTCAGCCAGATCGACTAAGTATAGTTTTTGCGGTAAGCGATTACAACGGTTTTAGCGACTATGCTTTATATATTAGTAAGATAATAAGTAAGATATATTCTTCAGTACTGTGCTCAGCAATAAAATTTTAACTAATGAATAATAGATATTACATAGTTACATTATCTTTGTTATCAAAATAATCAGCGTTTATACGGCAGTTGGTAACATTTTGTGCCATGCAATTACAACAGTTTGAGAAATCGATAGCAAATTTGTTAGAAATTATAGTTTTTTATATATTTAAGAGAGTTAATTATCTGTGTACAAAAAAAAATAGTACATTTAATAATCAAATGGTTATTTGATTATTTAAAAAAAAAAATTTTATTTTTCTCCTTGATTACTGATAGTTCTCTCAAATATGGCTAAATTTATGAGCTATAGAGTAGTACCCACACAAAAGATTTTTCAAGATAAAATGATGTAAAGTTCAAATCTTAAGAAAGTACTTATAAGAAATCAAATGAAAGTAAATCTTAGTAAAAGCTTACTCTTTATAAGAGGTTACCAAACAAAATTTTGTTGGGATGCGTTGTATTATCACAACTCATCAGAAGTTCAAATAAGTATCCCATCATTGTACGCCTTTTGCAACTATTATATGATTAGATACTTTCACTGAAGAGAAACTCAACTTGTAAATTTAATCACTAGCATGAAAAAGTGCGAGAAAATATAACTCTTCACGTACAAATTGGATATCGAAACCATACATAACTTGAAAATGGTATGGAGGTCATGTGCCGAACACTATTTTTCCAACCGAGGGCGCAGCAAACGTACAAATGTCAAGAAAACCGTCCTAAGGTAGGAAATAGTACACAACGTCACCACAGTGCAAAGTAGGAACTTGAAGGGCATGGTTATTGTACATATGAGCCTCACTCGATTATAGTGTTTTCCTTACCGAGGGCGAAAAGTGCAATTTTGCAACCGTTGATACACTTTGAGCACCATAAATTTTCTGCCTGTGATTACAATCGTGCAAAGTGCAGCCCACGTGGGTGAAAAACGGCAGTTGCATTTTATGCCTAAGGTAATAATAGTATTTTTCGTACCTGCGATGGTGCATGCTGCAGGTGCAAGAGACTTCTTGTGCTGCTCTGGGTATAAATGACTCGAATGTTTTACTTTTATTTTGTTGACAACGATCGCAAACATAAAATACGTGTATTCAGAACGAGCTTCAATGATCTTAGTCTTCAAGGGTTTAACAAATTGGGTTATTTTTTGGTTTATTTTGGTGGTGTTGACTCTATTTATCCTACATAATGTCAGTGCTAAGAAAAATATTTACCGTAACTTCATTTTTCAGTTGAATCAGCTGAAATTTCAACACTTCTAATTAATAAAGTTGGAAGTTTTACAATATCAACTATCTCAGCACTGTGTTTAAACGATGGATAAAAAAAAAATTTATTTTGATTTCCTTAATTAATAACACATAATAATGATTATGTTTTCTTTTAGTTCTAATCGTTTCACGTAGTTAGAATTATAATTACCAGGTTTGAAAAAATTTTAGCGACAAAGCTACATTAGTTCGATAAAAAGTAACCAAGGTTCTCTTATTTTCTGAATTGCTAAAAATTTTACTAAACAATTAAGTTTAAAAATTGAAAAAGTCTTTACGTCACTGGTGCTCCGTAAGTAAAAATTACCGCCCGCTACGCAGGCGGGATTTTTTACTTACCGAGCACCAGGAGACGTAAAATCGTATACGCACCACGTTCGGAGGTTAAGAAATTCCCTAGATTTCACATTAACCGTTTATTCATGTGAAATCTGCGAGATTCTTAACCTCACTCACTAGGTGCGTAATGTACTATACATTTCTTTTATATATATATATATATATATTTGATGTTCTTGGCCGTAGATTTCCACATATGATAAGATTATAGTACCTGCAAGTAGAGCAGAGTCCAATATCGTATTGACGTTGGATACAGCTATCTTCGCCAGAAAATTCATAATCTAGACCGTTTTGTCAGTGAAAAGTATTTTCATCACTTATTTTATTTTTATTAAATCCGAGAAAGTTCTATATATTAATAAATTTTATGTACGGAAGCGTCAAATAAAATTTTCCTACCTCGAGCGTTTTTGACAGGCTGGTGTGCCCTTGGTAGGAAAAATAGCATTCGCCACATAAGCGCCATCGCTCCGTGGATACCTTACGTCCTTCGGGCCCTGATGCTTCGCAGGTCCCTTGGGCCGCAAAATAGCCCCGGAGACGATGGCACTTATCCAACGAAAACTACTATTTTTTTGGTTTGCAGGGTTTTACTGGAGTTTTTTTTTACATCATAAATTCATGCTATGAAAATATTAATTAAGATCGTTAAAAAGTCCTCCAAATCAGAATCTTATAAATAATACTCACACATTTGATTGATGATTTTTTAACCAAAATTTTTTGTAAATTATCATTAGTTTTAAACACGATTACGTAACTATTATGAAATTCTGCACGTATGACATTTGTTACGCACGATAGCATAGCTATGTGAGTCCGTGATCACCCCTGGACCATTTGCAAAGGTACAATAAGAGAGAGAAAAAGCAGGGTATAGATGAGATGCAAGAAACGAAGTAAGGGAAGGCATTCGAAGGGTAAACGTGGTAGACATCGCTAAATCAAAAGGCGGTGGTGCGTTACAGGGCTTTTTCTCCACTTGGTTAACTGGCAAACCACTTCATGTATTGTATTAATTTTATGAGCACCCCGAATTCGCTATTCCCCCGTAATAGATGGTATCAGAAGTGGCATGGCTTCCACGAATTGAATAAAACAAATTTTATTTCTTTGGTTGATATATAGCACGACTTTTAGAAAAGCCACATAGTGTCGAATATCGAGGACGACACGGCGTTCATATTTTAAATCGTCTTTAGCATCTTTGGCATTTGTAACATTTTATCATTGAATTGAAAGTATTACAGATTTTCATTTAAATTAAAAAAAAATACTTTATATTCATAAAAATCTCATCACAGAAAATTTTGTGTTTTCAGGGGGATTCTTAGGTGATATTGCACTGCCAAACATTAAGTATGAAACAGAATGGCGTGAGCAGGAGTTGAATAAAAGCTTTTACGATGAATTCGAAAAGTACAGAGATGAAGTTCTAAAAGAGGGATTACAGGTTGAAGAAGAAGGTCTCACAGGTACGTTTATCGAATTCAGATTTTAATTAAAGTGGCAAAGAAATTTTTTTTGATGTGTAAATGTTAAAACTTTTATACAATTTTATTGAAGATCAATAAAATTAATTTATGCATTTTTTTTTAGAAATCCTGCAATTTAAGAGTGAAAATGATTCATCAATGAAAAAAGCAAAAGAAACAAAAAAACAGTCAAATCCAGAACCGATTGCAATTGAGCGTGATCAGTATAAATTTGACACAGTAGCTACTCGTAAGGAAGACAAAATTCCTGAAGTCAAAGATTACGGTTACGTTTTTAGGTAAGTTAAGGATATACAATAATATTCGACTTGACTAGTCATAGAAATGACAATTTTTCTCAAAGAAAAATTATTAACAACTAATATAACTTCTCTCTTAAACAAATAGTTATGATATTTTTCAGTTTAGATGAGAACCCACCAGGTAAATCTCCAAACAAAAATTCAGACTATCCTCAGTTTCCAGAAAGAAAAGCCTCACATAAGCGAATTCCATACCCTGGGACAACAACGATTGACAACAAAAGTAAGAAAACAAAAACAGCGGCAACAAAGGTTTCAGATGTTACAACTTTAGCTTCAGCAGACTTTTCGGAAAAAATATACTACAGTGAAAATTACTCCACATTGACACCACAGATACGAAAAAGGAGACACCATCGGCGAAAGTAAGCTACGAAAATTTTAGAAAATCTTTATCTCCTTTAAGTCTCCTAACTAATACTCTAGTTTAGAAATTTATTTCATTTTTGTTACAAATACGAATGGTTTTTCCATCCGAAAGGTTGGGGGTCGCTTTTTCCATTACTCCGAGCTATAAAAAATTAACATAATATCTAAAAAGAATTAAAGCTTCCATCAATTTATTTGTTTGAGTTCATCTATAAGCTATAGAAACAACAAAGTCATTTTAATGATAATTCATGCAAGATAATTGACTTGGATAATTTGTGAAATATAATCGAGATTCTTATTTCTTTCGTATTTTTACTATCTCTTATTGATTTTTTTAACAATATAACACTGATTTTTTTTTTTTCATTTAGCTTTCATGTTCGTGCCAATCGTCGTCGTCATAAAATAAAGAGAATTATTTGCACATCCCTTCACTCTTTTTACAATTTGTAGACACGTTTAAGGCACAAATTTTTAGTGGAATTATAAAAGCGTTCGGTTGACACTAGCATAAAATTAACTTATGATAAATCATTTTTTTTTAATTCATCCATCAGGACCTGTTTAAGGTTTTATGTCTCTCTCGACTATTTAATGTTGTTGAACAATTGCGCTTGTTACTTAGATCAGCTAATGGAAATATACTTCATTTGTTCATGTAATTGGTAAAACAATGATTTCTGCTTTCAATACACGTTGATTTTATAAAACTGACCTACGAAAAATATTGGTTTCATAGAGAAGTCATAAACTTTCTGCTACCTTTTTTCTCTATCATATAATTTTTTAGTAGGTGATTCAAGTTAATTAAAGTCGATTCAAAGTGAGACGATTTGATCAATCAAACTTGATCGATTTTAATGAGACTTTTGACATTTATAGTTTTAATTGACTTTTATAGTACAAAGTGGTATTAAAGTTAATCAACTTTCCTCGACATTTGGAACTGGAGAGAATCAATCGACGTCAATAGCAATTCTTATGATCCATTTTAATTAACTTTAATAGCAACTCTTACTAATATTAAACTAAGTTACTTTACAAGTGGTTCTAATTTTTTCCATCTTACTTCATTTTTTACCAACTAAAATAAATTATGTTAGCAGACTATAGTCAGATGGACAAACGATGTTTAATGATATCGGCTTGATTTTGTTTGAAATTGTAGTAGGAGAACAAATACAGATTAAGGAAAACCAATACAATAAATTAACCTAATAAAAAATTGGTGAAAGTACTAAAATATACCAACACCATAAAATAATTAAGGAAATATCGAGTATTAATACGAAAAAAAGGATAAAATACGCGTTACCTTATCTGGTAGAAAAAAGAAAGGGAAAAAGTATAAAAAGTTGCAAAAATAATAATTATTATTTTAAAATAATAAATTCATAAAATTAAATTACAAAAACGAAAGTTCAAAATAAAAATGACATAACTGATGCAATCGAAATGATAGTTCATTGGGAAATTTTATGGATTCACAAATATTCAACTATTGATTTAAACACAAGAGAATACGTTAAAAAAAATTAATAAAGTTTTCAGTAAAGCTTATTTGAATTTGAGCATTTTATGTTATGTTTTATATTTAGAATCGTTACATTGTGCCAAGACAATGATTAATGTGAGACTGCGATCGCAGTACTTCTATTACATTGACCAAAATAATATGATCATCTAGTGCCTCTTTGTTTTCCTTATTCTGATGTAAAGTAGTTACAACTCATTTGTTTTGTACATCATTTTTCTTTGCTGCTGCTTCACATAAGAGTTTTTTTTCAGCATACATGTAGAGTTAATAAATTTCTCTTGAAAAAGCTAAATCTTTTATTCCACTTGGAGGTGTATATTTAAACTGTAGCCGATGAGCATAGAATGACGTCTGTGTTAAGTATTTGCATAATTCAGTGTTACTTGTTTTAGTATTCTTTAGATTAACATTGTAAAGTGAAGAAAACTATAACTGCTATAGTAGGTAAAATGAGCATTAATAGTTATTTACGTAACAAGTGCGGAAAAGACCATTTCCCGCACGAGTCGTGATTGACTCGCACGAGTGGCCGGAGTTGACGTGAACGAGTGCCAGTTGAGCACACGAGTGCGGGAAATCGTCCCACACGAGTTGCGTACAAGTTTTTTCGAAATAAGTGTGCGGAAAATAGGTGTTTTCCGGACTGATATTAGTGTGGAAATAGTAGTTTTCCTACGAGTTTGAAAAGTCTTTGTTTGCGAACCGAGAGGTTAACGGCCCGAGCCGCAGGCGAGGTCCGTAACGAGGTTCATAAAGGAGACTTTTCGAACGAGTATCGGAAAACTGCTTTTTTGCCCGAGGAAATACCAGCCTCCCAAAACCACCCGAGGATGGAAAATCGATTTTCCCACATAGTGTTTGGAAAAGGTGTGTGGAAAAAATGTGTGGCAAATGTTTTTGCCTTACACTTTTTCCGCATACTGTGTGAAAAAACCTTTGCCACACACCTTTTCAGCATACTATGTGGGAAAATCGATTTTCCACACTAATATTAGTGCGGAAAACACCCATTTTCCGCACACTATTGCGAATTAGTAGTTTTTTTACGAGTTTGAAAAGTCTTTGTTTGCGAACCGAGAGGTTTACTTTGCTTGAAAAACTCACTCTTTGCCATTTAGTAATATAAGACAGAAAATACATTCGCTAGGGTTGGTCAGACGACCACAACTCTGTTAAAGTCAAATAGATCCCATGTATCCATGAATATTTAAAGAAATGGTAACATTTGTTGGAGAGAGATCTACCTGGGCCATTTTGACGAATTTTATTGCGTGCAGTGAGTGTACCAATGTTTTAAAATTATTAACGAAATCGTAATTCAAATTTGCAGAACAGCAAGTAAACGCGAGCACGAGCAAAGAGATCAGAATGGAAACAGACAGCCTCATCAGAAGGGCAAAAACAAGGCTATTTCAAGTGGCAAGGCCAAAGACAAGTCTAGCCACAGTGAAGATAACAAGGGAGGAAAGAATAAAAACAACAAAGACGAGTATCAACGGCAACAGTGGCTGGAGCTGAGTGGTTCTGCCAGTTTGGTCCGTCTGTCGCACTTCCTTGACTTCTACGATCGGTATGGCTCAACTCTTGCCAGGGAGCCTGGCACCATGACCCAGCGGACTCGACGCAGACGCGCTGCGACCGCGCGTAAGGAACGAGTTTGGGACCATGGCGTCATACCCTACGAAATCGATGGTAACTTCTCGGGGGCGCACAAGGCCTTGTTTAAGCAGGCAATGCGCCACTGGGAGAACTTTACGTGCGTCAAGTTCGTCGAGCGGGTACCACGCGAGCATCCCAACTACATCGTGTTTACCGAGCGCCCTTGCGGGTGAGTTTTTTTACTTTGAAGTTTGTTTTTATGCCTTGCCTGGCTATTATGAATATGTTAATTTAAATCTTTATCTTTACAAAATGATGGGTCACGTGATGAAGCCTGTTTATTCGTTGCGCGATTGGTCCATTCGGATACTTGCTAGTCTGATTAAGAGCGGGAAAATTTGAAAAAGAGATTTTGAAAAGTAACAAAAAAGTAATTTAATGGTAGTTTTCGTACCTGGTGGTGCGTGTTGCCAGGGCAAGCACTAGGCCTGAAGGACTCCTTGTGGTTGGCCTGGTTGGTTGTACACCAGGTGCGAATCCTATTTTTCCTACCGAGGGCACATTCAACCCTTAAAAACGCCCAACGTAGGAAAACTTATAAGGTTATAGAGAAAACCCTCAATTAACAATTAATAAATTTTTGTGGTAAAGACCTACCCTTTGAGTGTAAAATAGCACCACTTGAATAACTTTACTGGGAGGACGACTTCACTTAGTATACAGTGAAATATATTTGACTATTTCTTAGAAGTTAGCAATGTGGAGAGCAGCTAACTTCAAAATAGTTAATTTTTCACCTAATATAAGTGAAAAAAAAGTTCACCATAGTAATAGTGAAAATTTTCACCTTTACTAAGTGAAAAAGACGTTGACTACTGAAGTAGTGAACATTTTCACTTGTCTTAATTTAGAGAGTACAGTTAACAATAATGTTTATAATCATAATAAGTACATGGTAATAACGAAGGCATAAAAACCAACTTGTCCCAAGAAAATAACTGTTTCAAAGGTATAACGGTTATCAATTAAGCGCTGACACATCTACCTGTATAACTATTTCTGACATGCAAAAAAAAAGAAGATTATGATTCCACTCACTTGAACCATTTTAAAGCATTTATTACTACGCAAAAAGAGGGCTAGGTATCAAATAAATAATTAATCATAACCATTTTACACATGTATCAAGAGACAAGGGTTCATAAAGCTTACACTGACCTAATCTTGTTGCTTCTTCAATTATTTAAAAAATTAATTAAAATTTTCTACATAAAAGTTAAGACAATTTTCATGAATTGTTATCCTTCCACTTGTCACATAATAAAGTAGTACTAAATTTTCTCATCACTACAGCGTTTAGACCTTAAGTTTCTCCTCTTCATTTTTGACCCCGGGAACAGAAAAAAAGATTTGATACCAACGTTTTTTGGTGATATATAAAAAATGTTCTCTTCAGATGCTGCTCTTTCGTGGGTAAACGGGGAAATGGACCACAAGCCATTAGCATCGGGAAAAATTGCGACAAATTTGGAATTGTCGTGCATGAGCTTGGTCACGTAGTCGGCTTTTGGCACGAGCACACGCGGCCGGATCGTGACCGACATGTGCAAATCATCCGTGACAATATTATGACTGGTAACTTATCGTTGACATTAGATTTTTTTTGTACAACCGCATACTTTTTTGCCATTTTAATTTGACAATTTTTTGGGTTTTGAAATCGCTAGACCTATACACAAATTTTACGGAAATAATTTTCTTTTACGTTTTTCCAACTCATCAAGGCGATTCTTTAATAATTTGTTTGCAGGACAGGAATACAACTTTAATAAATTAACCGAGGATGAAGTAAACTCCCTGGGCCTGTCCTACGATTACGACTCGATAATGCATTACGCAAAAAATACATTTTCCAAAGGCACCTACTTGGATACTATTTTGCCGATGGAGATTCATGGAAAGAAAAGACCGGAGATCGGTCAGCGCGTACGATTGAGTGAAGGAGACATTGCGCAAACGAATCTCCTTTACAGATGTCACAGTGAGTTTTGCTTTCCAATAACATTTCACGTTAATAAAACCTTCTAAGGTTTTCCCACCGCTACTGTTCACGCATGTTTTCAGTTGTACCTACATTGAGTATTCATACGATATAGGTTCTATTTAAAATCGCTTGAATTGATATAATAGGTACACCTATTCCGCATTCAAGAAAAAAAGAGCGCAAAGCTGTTAGATCTGTAAAACAATTAAATTTAAAAAGAATGTCCATTACATTGTCCAGTCGTCATAATGCACGTGGAAATGGCCATCCTTCACTTTTTACAATCTAGACTGATACTGGTATCGAACATTTCCTTACACACGATTAAAAAAGAAAGGCATAATTCAGACACCCACGCATGGTGTTCTCAAAGGGGGGTCGCGCGAGCACAATGCAAAACCTTAACCCCATTTTCGACTCGGAACAATGGCACCCGTCCCCTCCTTATGAAACCGCACGTACCAGAGGTAACGGAAAAAGAGGACTGTAAAAGGCTCTCGGATCGACCTGGTTGGAGCACTCTGTGGACCACTTCCTGTCCATTAAGCGCTCCCAAACGGAGAGCCTTTCCCGCCTAGTGAAGGGAGTGGCGGTGAAACCTCTGCCGCGATAGACAAGTAACTGCGGCACCCTCCCCGTACTCGCGACGCATTGATGTACACCAAGGGGGAGAGCGAGGGGCGATTACGCGAACAATAGCCGTGTATGGTAATGCAATAACCCAAGTGGGTCTTGGATTTCGTTGCAGAGTGCGGCCGCACGTTCCAGGAGAACAGTGGAAGCTTTGGCTCGCCGAGTCACCCCAACAGTTCGCCGTCAAGCGACACCGAGCGCTGCGAGTGGCGCATCACCGCGAACCACGGCGAGCGGATACTCCTCAACATCACCTACCTCGACATTTACAAGAGCGACTTTTGCCGGAGCGATTACCTCGAGATACGTGATGGCTACTGGCACAAGAGCCATGTGCTCGGTGAGTTGGTTTTAATTTGAGCTTTTAAAAGCTGGAGTTTTTGGTTCCGTACTATTCATCCGTTGGAGTTGACGTAGTTAATAATTTGTATTACATAAACAAAAAACTACTAGAAAAACGACAAACGAAAACTATTTAAGCATATTGTCTACTACGAAAAAAAATTATGTACACCTCAGCCCCTTGTCCGGAGAAATAGAAAAGTATGGGAGCTTTAGCTGGTAATGTTCGAGGATGCTATTTTTGGATGAACACTAAACTCGTGCACGGCGTGGATGAGTTTGGATGACTACGCGTGTACAAACAATGTTTATGCCTAGCTTGACGCGTTTAGCTTGATTAATTGATTCAAATTAGGCCGCAGTCCATTGTCCATTATCCACGAGCCATTACCTATTGTTCTCCGTGTTACGTGGACTGTGCACACGATTTTGAAAAGGCTGACCTCTGTTGTAGTTAAAAAAAAAAAAAATATAGCAGCTAAATGATTGAGTAATCCGACGCAATAATCGTGTAATTCCTCGTGACTGCTTAACATCTTTTATGTTAGTGTACTGGAAGATCTATTTATGTAAGTTTATACTTAACTAAAGGTAATCAATTTGTTTTCCGAACTTGAAGAAGTGCTCCTGAATTTTTGCCAAGTTGACAACTAGAGAGCAATTGATGTTTTAAAACCTACATACATGTATGTGTAAAACAAGAAACAAAAATTATTTAATTGAAATGGCAATTTTCCATGGATACAAGTATATTTAAACAATTTATGTATCAGCTCATCATATTTATGCAAGTCTATGTGTAAAATATATTGTATAGTATTTTTCCCAAACGCTATTAGCAGGGCATTATGCTAGGTACGGCTATTTACCATTATCAGGGGCGTTGTTGTTATGCTTGTTGCTGAAGCGGTCTCCGGGAAGCTTGCCAACCGTAGATAGCAGATAACTTCGATGAAAGGTAACGCTTTCAAGCGCATCCCATTGATTAGAACTACCTGCTGTGATATTAATGAAGTTAATTTTTATTTATTTGTTTTCTTATTGTAGTTATTATCTGGGCTTAAATCCTTTTTTCCTTAACTTTTATAATTGACTAAATAGAATGTTTGCAACTTATATCCCAGTACCACTCGTTCCTCTAACACCCAACCCATAAAGATGGATAGGAAATAAGCTATAATGAATTGACGATGATAAAGTTATAAATTGCTTTACAAGAGTACAAGTAACTTGGACGGTGTTTTTTTTTTTTTTTTTTTTTTTTTGTAAATTATTACGAAAAATAAGATGTTTTATTTTCTACAAAGTCAATTAAATCCATTTTATGAATAAATAATTAAATTAAAAACTCAAGCAATTAACTCTACGCGTCACCCTTTGTACCTTCACCTTCAATTTAAATTGTTTGCTATTTACAGTTAACGACTTTAGCAGTCCTGAAAATGCTTCGTAGCCATGTCTTACATAATGGCTGGCAGGTTTGGAAAAGCACTGACGAACACATACTAGCAGAACACGTATAAAATACACTTAGGCAAGGTTCTGCTTAATCCAATAGTTACGCGTTCAACAAAACATCTAGATGTTCCTTGCTTATTTTCATTATGGATGGAATTTTTTGTTTGTTAGTATTTAAGGTTCTGACCTCATAAGAGGTATGAATTGTAGATAGATGGTAACACTCAAAGAATTTTCAATGCCAGCAATCACCGATAAGTTAGCGCAGTAAGATATGCTAAGCAGTGATAGCGTTTCCATAACTCTTTAACCCTTGAAAAGTGTATATTTAGTGCATTTGCCTCTCAACGAGCATCAACATTGAAAACAATTTGAACAATAGCTCGAATACGATCCATCTCTCAGGGCGTTTCTGCGGCAACGGGCAGATGCCAGCCCCGGTGATGTCGATGGGTAGCCGGATGCTGGTCACGTACGTGGCGTCGGCCCGCCAGAGCGGCCACGGAGGCTTCACAGCGAGCTACGAGGCCGTGTGCGGCGGCGATGTGAAGGTCGACGGGCTCGGGCACCTCGAGTCCCCCAACTACCCCGAGGAGTACCAGTCGAGCAAGGAGTGCGTCTGGCGGCTCACCGCGCCCCAGGACTACCAGGTGGCCCTCAAGTTCCAGTCGTTCGAGATAGAGAGCCACGACAACTGCGTGTACGACTACGTTGAGGTGCGCGACGGCCACTCGGCCGACTCGGCACTCATTGGGGTCTACTGCGGCTACAAGCTGCCAACGGACGTCCGGTCGTCGGGCAACAAGCTGCTGGTCAAGTTCGTCAGCGACAGCACCGTGCAGAAGGCCGGCTTCTCCGCCACCTTCATGAAGGGTGAGTTGGTACTGTGGCAGTTGTTTTGGGCCCGTTAAGGAGCTTCCAGCGCCATATAAGACACGTGTCATTGAATAGTTCACTCTCTAAATTTGAAATAGTGAAAATTCCACTATTTGCGAAAGTGAACTAGATTTTTACTGGAGAAATAGTGAAAAATCAGGGTTGCTTATTCGCACCCAGTCGATATAAATTTTAATTTTAATTATTTATTTATAATCCAATTAGCGATTTTGATTCAAATAAAAATAATTGTAGAACCCACACGCATTATTTCAAGTGATACGAACAACAAGTTAATCAATTAATTTAAGTAGAGAAAGATTAACTTTGTAGAAATAGTAAATATTCACTATTTCGAAGTGAAATTAACTATTTTACAGTGAATATTCACTAGTTCAAATAAGTTATAAGTATGCAACTTTGAAATAGTAAAATCGTCCGTTTCGCTGCTAAAGTAGTGCATATTCAGTATTTTACAGTGTATATGCATTATTTTGAAAAATTTGTATACTTATCACTATTTCAAATTTAGAGAGAAGATTACGCTAAATCTAAGGGTACAATTGTTCTCATTCTTAAGCGGACAAAATCTTGAGAAATCCATGCTTAAAGCTCGCTCTTTCAACTAGAGCGCTTATGGCAGGTAGACTAAGACTAATGATTTGCAACTCCAATCGAAAGTGTCGGGTATTATCAGTACATACGTATTGTAGGTTATAACTTCATTTTTCAAATGCCGTCGTGAAAAATATAGATAACCGGAAAAAATTTTGAGATATTCTGTTTATAGTTAATCGAATTGTCGTATTTTTGTCGGTTAGCCTATGTTTTTCTTGCGGCAGTGTTGCCAACTATTACAGTCTTTTGAGCAAATTAGGGCTCCGCGATGCGGGTTGGTATCTCTATACTTGCTGAAACCTCCTTAAATAGAATTAGCTTGAATGCAAACTTGTAGTTAGTGGTGGGATTGATGTTCGTACTTTATCATACGTTTAATGATTACGTACAACTTTCGTGACGTGCGTTGAAAATAAAAGAGCGCTGGTTCATTTGTCCTTGCATTCAAGATAAAATGTGACAAAACACTTTTCTTCTGTTGAGTAATTTGGCTGCTACAGACCTTTTATTGATAAAAAAGTGAATTAGATCTTACAAAGCATTGCTGCCGTCATGTTATCCATGGTTATCATAAATGAATAGTTTTCCCGCATTGAACAAAACGAAATTAACAAGGAGTCATTAAATCGATATAACAGAGTTTTTTAATTCGCAGAGTTTGACGAGTGCGCTCTGACTGATCATGGATGCGAGCACGAGTGCATAAACACCTTGGGAGGATACGCGTGTGCTTGCAAAGTAAATTACGAACTTCATTCAGATGGGAAACACTGCGAAGGTAACACAATCTATGAGGAATACAAATTATTTACACACAATTTGGTTATTGAGAAAGTATCCGTAGAAAAAGTCCTTTACAGACGTGAAAAGTCTTAACATACGATCTAACATTAAGTTTTATTTAATATTAACTTTTTTTTTTAATTTAGAACCAATACAAAAATAAATATATATGCTTTAGTTTCAAAATTTTTCCGAGAATAATGATTGAAAAAAGGATTAATAGTTAAACCTGTAGTAAGTAGCTGTACAGCTTACGTACACTGGACATATAGATATTTTTTTAGAAATAATAAGAGGTTAATTCTCTGGTACTATTGCTTATCAAATATTGAAGTTATGATGAAATAGTAATCTCATGAAAATTTTAAAATGTATTTTTTAATATCACGGCTTTTAGAGTTCTTTGCACTATTACTTTTATAATTACTGAATAAATACTAAGTTTCATTGTTAAGTAATCCTGACTTATTATGCCATACGCTGCCAATATGTCAATATTTACTACAGCAAAACGCAAATTCTTATAGATAAAACGTTGATACCAAAAATTGGATAAAAGACCTCTACTTCTTGGGTTTTTGAAAAATTACAATTTTAAGCTGTAATAATATAATGTCTTACATTACCTTCGAATTTTTATCTTAGAACTGTACTAAATATTTGGGATCAATGACATTCCTGTATTTATAAAAGTGAATATTGGAGATTCTTTACGATGGAATTTTAAAATGACAGTTTAAAAAAATAATCTTTGAAACTTGTTTTTTACTCATATTTTCTGAAACAGTTAGTACTGCAGCATTATTATGTACTATGGTAAAAACGAAATTTAGCTACTTTAGTAAATAATATATTAAGCATCAAATGATTACATATAAATAAACAAGTAAAATCGAACAAGACTTTTTATCAAGAATAACTAGTAACATTATTAAAGTTAATGATAGTTCAAAATTTATCCAAGACCAGAAAGGAATTCGAAATTTCAAAATTGTGAGAGTAACTCGGACAAAATTCAACGATGTGTTCGACGTCACATTTATTATACTGCATTAAAACAAATTATTTTTCTATAAAGATAATCGAAGTGTTAGTAACATGTATACATACATAAAACGTAAAAATCATACGAAAGAATGAAATTGATTTCCTTCTTTCTTTTGTTTTGTCAGACGCATGTGGAGGCACGTTTGAATCAAACAATGGTACAATAACGAGCCCCTCCTTTCCGGAAACTTATCCAAACAACAAACACTGCGTCTGGGAGATAATCGCACCAGTCCAGTACCGTATTACCCTTAATTTTACGCACTTTGATCTCGAAGGAAACAACGTTTACGAGCAACCCTGTGAGTACGACTGGGTCGAGGTAGCTAGCAAGCTCAGTGACGATGTGCACAAGAAACACGGTATCTTCTGTGGCTCGAGACCACCACCTCTCATCACGTCGGAGGGTAACTCCCTCAAGGTTGTCTTCTCGTCGGATAACAAGTCAGTAGATCTATCTTTAATTCTTTTAATTAATTTTTCTGTAATACTGCAATAACTATTAGGTGTAAACCACGTGTACAAGATACGTACTGAAAGAACACGTCTGTTTATAAAAACTTATCCAGCTTACTTCGAAGCAAAGTTATAAGCAATTAGAACGAAATTAATTTTTCATCGATCGTTATTATTACGTTAAATTTTTTTAAAAAGTCAAAAAAAACTCTTCACAACTTAAACTCATATGTTCACGATTTTTTTATATAACACATGACATCACTAAAAAAAGTAGACTAGTCTCGAAGGTACGCCCAAAAAAAATTGTTCGCACTGGTAGAATCACGACATCTTCTCCTTTTCTTTTGAAGAATGTTAGTTAAGAAGAAAGTTGTTCAAAAAATCTTACGATGGCATGGTGTCGTATGAGAGTTGTCTCGAACGTGCACTCGAACGTGAACTTAAGGTGGTTCATGCACGACTCCCGAGCCAAATGTGCAACTGAAAAGATAATTTCTATTGAGGCTGTCAATATTCATAAGTATGTTATTAAATATTCTTCATTGAATAAAATAAATCATCCATGTCACATTATGGATCACATTAGCCAATGTAAAAGTTTCTAAAAACTATTTTTTGTGCAATTGCTATTAACCTCAAAAAATTAGCAGTTGACTCTCGCCTATACTTTTAACATAGTAAATGGCAATGCATGATTGCGTTTTAATTGATATCTTTTAATTTTGTCTTGTAAGGTAAAATTTTCAACGAACCATTACAAATGGGATGACTAGTTTATTACTCTAGTTTTTGATCATCCTGGCCCAGTTCTACGAAAAGTAATTGCATGACATACGGTGACAAAATTGTGTACGTCGATAAAAGCCCGTGTTATCCCAGTGCTCAACGACGATTTTCAAACGTCTCGTTCTCGTGATTTTATGCTACAAGCCTATCTGAAATTTTGCAGAGAGGTATATAAAAGGTTCGTAAAGAACCTATCCAAATTTAACTTTGATAGCCCAGTTTTTAATTTTCACATTAATCACCTTAACGTTATCACAATTAATTTTTAAAAAATGGAATAGAACTGAAAAAATATATTGTGTCACGATAATTCTTGTGAAATGAAAAAAATGTGTTTCACGAGATAAATTTAAAAAAAAATCATACGAAAAATAGAAAGATATGAAGTTATATAACCTCAAAAATCCGTGATTTTTTAAATACTGGAAAAATCACAATGTCCGCTCACCTTCACTTGTTTGATTATTACTTCTAAACTACTACAAACAGCAAGTTTAAAGTGTTCAAGTAACTGATACATCCATTTTGTTGTTAAAATACAAAGTCCTATAACGCTCTCCTCATAATTTGGCACTACGAGCTCTGTCTTTCTTCAAAGAAAACATAATTATTAACAGCGCTGAAATAAAGATATAAATATCATATTCTCCTAACATATATGTTTGTGATAATAAATAAACATTATGTATTTAAATGTTATTAAGGTGATTTTTTATTTCAAATTTTTCTTACACCTCATTAAAACAATTGTTGTAGATACAATAAATGTAAGATTAGTGAGAGGCTTAATTTAAGTTAGTACTTAATCATACCAATTATATTTGCTTATCGGAATTTGATGTGGATGGAAGGAAGATTGGAATGTTGGATCATATTCAGAATTATGTTGAGGACGGTACTTAGAGCCATATCTTGAGTAATCATGTGGATATTCGAATACATTATGTCTTGAGGGTTCAAAATTACTCAACTGGGGATAAGGCCGGTTCATTTTTCTAGTCTGTTCGAATAATTTGATCAGCATTAGCCAATTTCTGTTAAACTGTTGTAGAACTTCTTCAATCTTAAGTGTTTCCATATAAATTGTATTTACCTAAAAAACCATAACAATTGAAATAGAATATAGTAGACATTATTCAATATAAATTTGAAGTTAAAGAAAAATTTTCATCCACATTAAAATTTAAATCAAGTGATAATATTTTTGTATATCTATTTCTCTGAGTGAAAAAAACTAAACTCACTTTTTTGTCCATCGGCCTGATTTCAAATATTATGTGTGGCCGAGATGTCTGTGTGATTAAACCCTGAAAGTTCAGTAAAAACTCTTCAATGATGTAGTTTTACCAGTTTATAGTAAATCAATAGTTGTAATTGTATTTGTTCCAAATATACAATAATTTCTTTAAAGGTATGAGAAACAGAAACAAGTTGTAAGTGAGTTACCTGAAGAAGGTTTTTCTCAGTAGTAGTAGTAGTAGTAGGAGCAATAGTAGTAGTAGTAGTGGCAGATGTTTCCTTTAGCTCACTAGTTCCAGATTTCTATAGAATCAGTGTATTTTTTATTCGTATTCGAATCTTATGACAACTACAGTTACGATTTTTTAAAAGTTATAAGTGTAGTATTTATACGAAATCGAATTTCTCAAAGATTGAAGTATCACCGTAAAATGCATAACTACCATATCTTTATACATGTTCGGATCTGGCTCACGATGCAATTGGATACATAAATTATTTAATTATGTATCCAACAAAACCAAAACAACATTATAATACTAAAATTAGTAATAAACTTTAAAAAACATTATATCATTTTAAAATGAAACTTTACCTAAGATGTAGGAGTAGTTCTCATCTTAAGATAAGTATCTAGATTTTATATATTTTACTACTGATATTTAACTTTAACTGGTTGTCAATTTTTAACTATTTATATCTGTATTGATATCATACTTAAATTCATACAAAACGCTTACAAAATCCATGCACAAATTACTTCTATATGTCATGTCTAAGCTCAAAGTAAATCGAAATTTCTTTTCAATGTCACACATCAATGGTATTAAACAAATTAACTTATAACAAAAAACTTTAATTTACTAAAGTAGCTGACTTAGGTATCTGACTTTTATATGCAGGAAATTCAACGTAATCTGATTTATGTATTAAAATTAAAATTACAAGTCTCTTTAATATCAACGTGCTAAAAAACAAGAAATTCAAAAATATTACCTGAGTCGTCAGATCTGACATTGCGGTTGATACCTTTGTAGCCGTTGAAGCACTTTCAGTCACGGATTCCTGTAAAGATCGTATTTAAATAAAGATATAACGCATTTTCGTAAATGTGATGGATAACTTTCTATGAAAAACTTTTATCAGTACCTTATTCTGTGTAGAGGTAGAGAGAGGATCACTTGTGGACATAGCTGATAAAATATCCTCTGTGGTAGCTTCCTTAAAAGAAAAAATTAAAAAAAAAATTAAGTGAGGTAATTTATAACAGTCAAATTGTTTTTTGAGTTGTGAAATATTTTTTTTTATTTTATGTTTGGAGCACATAAAATTAAAGTATCGATAAACATTATTTTTTAGTTTTCAAGTAATATACATTTTCTACTGAGAATTCACCTTAGACGGTTTCTTTTCCATAGTAACAGAAGATGCTTCTTCTAACAAGGAATTGAAAGTTGTCACATAGACCTTAGCTTCCTGTAAAAGAAAATTTTGTATAATCCTTTTAATATTTCCTTGACTTACAAATAAATATTGGCTACACAATTATAAGTACTCGAACCCACATGATTGTTAGTTCAAAAAATTTTTCAGTTATTTCGTGAAAGGATGTTATTCAGTTTCTAACTATAGTCAATTGTAACATTAGTTAACACAGTGATCTGAATGATGTATTAATTTTAAAATAAACATTAAATTTTTTTATATTTAGGATTTTTTGACTTTCTTACTAACTTACATAGTTTCACTGTTAGTAATCACGTTTATCACTTAAATTCTTTTTAAATATAAAAAAAGTATGAAATTTTCGTCAAAAACATAAGAATTAGATAATGGCATTGTACATATTTTTGAATTTTAATGTTTAAGATAAATTATTAGTTCAGTGAAGAAAATTTAAAAATGATTCTGCTGAATACTGCTACCATGTTAATTTACGTTAAGAAAGTTGTATCCTAAGCAGTTACGAAATTAATAGTTAAGACTAATTTTTTTTAAGTACAGTTAAATCACCACTTTTTATAGCACTCTTCTAAGCAATAGCTTTTTTCTCCACTGTTAAAATCCCAGTCTATAAGTTTTTCTTAGCACTTTTTTACGCATCTTATGTAACATAGTTTTATATTTACGTTTAAAATTCCAAAAAAAAAACTCACTGAAGTAATTAATTGTCTAGTTAAAGATGACAAAAATAGTTCATAAATTTATTCCTACAAATTTTTTAGGTTAAAAAAACGTACTAGGTGGAGTACAATAAATATTTTGAGTACAGTGCACAAAAATGTATGAGGTTTTAGTTAAGAGTTAAAAAAAATTTCATAATCATATTAACATAAGGTTTTTGTATTAACTTGACTAATTACTCATGGAAAATGGTGAAAATGATCGTTTGCTAATGTTATAATGCAATTGTTCGTAATATACGGCCACTGTTCGTTATTATAATCGAATTTCTTAGCTCTCAGACTTTACTGAAAAAATCTATAAAGTTAGTGTTTTCGTGTTTTTTTCTAGAGTTCAAAAAAGTTTGATGAGAATCCTACTGGGTAGTATATTATAAACTATTTCTTATCATAAAGCCAGAAAACTTCACCCTACTGATACACCAGAAGCTTCCTCAAGTTTTCTTATCAGCTTCATATTTGCAAAAGAAATGTTACTTATTGTATACTTTCATAACAAGGTTAACAAAAATACTGAATTTTTATTAGCTCCTCACAAATGAAAATGTATTTTTATAAAAAAAATAAAAAAT